CCCCAAAACCCCAAAACCCCAAAACCCCAAAACCCCAGCTTATTCATATTGTAAATAACATTGGTGAATGAGTATTTTTAATAATGAAACATAAAATTTTTAACTAAATAGATTTGATTTGCCTTCTAAGATAACTCCAGCTAATATACTCTCATCTTGCTCTATTGTTAGTGCTTTTCTTTTCTTTTTTCTATTTTTCAAGAGCTTCCTTTGTAATAGCTTTTTTGCAAAGAGGACATGTATTGTTATTTTTAAGCCATTATTCGATACATTCTGGGTGGAAATAATGTTTTTCGTCACAGGGCAATGGAATTATTTCATCGTCTTTTTAAAAGTCAAGTAAACAAATTGCGCATTACTCGAAAGCTTGATTTCTGTCTGGATTGAACTTATCTTTAACTAGATTTTGGACGAATCGTGGAGGTGCTGGTATCCAGTTGGGTCTTGCTCCTCTTCTGATGGCTATTATTACAAATGGTGCCATAATGCAGACGAGGGTGCCTACACAACAGCATTTGAGCATCTCGAAGTAGCCAAACAGAAGTAAGATGAAAAGAACCCATCTATATCCAGTGTTGATATTGTGATAGTCAAGTTACTGATAGTAAATAACATTTCCATAAACTAACCACCCGACCAGAAACACCATGCCTAAGAATCTAGTCGCCATTACCAACAAGTTTTCCCTCTAAGTTTTAAGAATAAAGTGATACTGAAGCATCTGCAAGATAAACTCTCCAACATAATACCCCATTATTACAGTAAGCCACCTTTTAACTATATCATCCTTAGGGAGAACATCTTGGCTTATATTAACAAGGATCACAATCAAAATCATAATGATAAATAGAACGGTGTAAGTCATCTCCCCAAACAGGTTTCTTACAAGTTTCTCTGAATTTAATCTTCTTCTTTCTCTTTCTAACTATGAATTAGAAAGACCTATAAATTATTACTGCTAATCATTTATTAATGGGTCATAGTATTACTGCTAGTCATATTATAGGTTATTTTGCTGCTAAGGCAATGGCTATCCTAATGGCTAATAGTTATTTTGATAATATTGATTCTGATTATACATTGCAGGCAACTATTAATTCTAATAATGGCTATACATGTTATTTTAGTTCATCTGCTGATATAACTACTGATGCTGATTAATTTACTAGTCTTGGCTGTAGATATTATTATTTTGAGCATTATTATTTCTGTTTTGATTGTTATTTTAGTTGTGTCCTAAGAGAGGATCATCAGAGACATTATTCATTATTATCCAAGTTTATATAACTAATATTTTTGTTCTTTTTCTTATTAAAATAATAATAAATTAATTGCACTTTCATGGTAGATTTGAGTGTCAAATTCAATAACAAAGTGAGCTCTTTGGTAAAATCAAGTGTATCTCGACCAACACATAACCAATCACCTGATATGCAGAATGCATGTGGCATCGATAGTGAAATTACTAAGATATTGAGCTATTTTCAGTCGCAGGATGTCATGAAAATAGACAAAAATGATCTGACTATGTTTATTAGGCATTTTGAGTCTAAGATTAAAACTCAGCATTTAGTTGCTAAGAACAAAGAGTAATTTTATCAATCACTAAATTATATCCACTTATAGATAAGACTAAGTGTAAAAGACCATAATGCTGATCTAAGAAAGCAAACTCGAGAAGCTAATAAGGATCTTTAGAGATATTGAGATATCGAATTTGAAGAAATAGATGACGGTGAAAAAGCAAGAATATGAACAAGCCCAAAGACAGAAGCAGGCTTCTTAGAATAGAATAATTAGACAGAGTTATTAGCAGATGAATGAAATTGAGGAGAGTAAGGAATAAGGTAAATATGACCCTGAAAGAGAAGAATACGAAAAAGAGGGACAATAAATATTAATGAATCTGCAGTCAGATATTAATCAAATTGAAGACACTGAGAAAATCATATTTGAGTTAAGTAACTTGCTACAGTAATTCTCAACCAAAGTTGTGGAGCAAGAGAATATGTCTGTTTTGAGTAAGATTATCTTTATTCAATTTTTTAGTTCAATAAAATGCAGAATAATCTGTACTAAATGTAGACGAAGGAAACTAAGAATTGAAAAAGGCTCATGAATACTAAAAGGGCAATGGGCACTTATTTGCAGCTATCTTTATCATCTACACATTAATGATTATCATTTGGGATTGGTTTAACACAAAGTATTACTGAGTGATTAATGTCTAGTTATGAAATTAATTTTACTATTTATTCATCACTCATCAGTTGTATAAAAATCTTCTCTAAGACTCCTTCAGAAGTTCATTGCTTATCTTAAATCTTTGAGTCCAGCTACGTCTTTAAGCAGTTCCTCCAAATCATCAGTTATTCCAGTTTAGAAAACCTTTGTTAAGATATAGTTAACTATTTGCAGAGAGCCATCATGCAGGATAACTAAATCATAGTGATTCTTAAATTCCTCAATCATATGTCCCTAACGTTAGAGATTATTCAGGTAACCTATCTTGAGAACGATATCGTGCTATGAGTGCTTTACCATGTGAACATCTTCTAAGAAGTCACCCATGACCAAGACATTCCTCCTAAAACTAGTAGCTTAATCGTATATAAAATCTTGCTTGTTAAGCACATGAATGACAGGTTTTTTGTAGTCGTAAGCTATATCATCTCGATAATGGAATTGATTTGAAAAGATCCTTGAATTTTCCCAGCATAGCTTGGCATGCTCATTTTTAATTTCCCCATTATGCATAATAGCCTAAAAGTTGTATTCGATAATTTCAGAAATACCCCCTGATACTATGATGAAAGGAACATTCAAGATGTGTGACAGAGCCATCAACTCTTCAACTCCATTCCTAAGAAGCAGTCTGCTTTCTAAGACTAAATTCATAAAGTCTTCTCTGTGAAGTCTAATCTCAGAAAACAAATCAAGATTTTCTTCCCACCATTGAACCATATGCTTTGCCTTGACTTCTTGAGACATTTACAAATCCAATTCTATTGAGCTGTATTTGTTGAATAACTCCCTGCACTTATTTCTCACTTCCAAAGGTACAAATCTGCTATCCTGCAGAGCTTTAAATGAAGTATCAGCCTTTTTGCCATCTAAATGCTTGTCCATAGTTAAAGTACAGTCATAATCTGTCAGTATTTGCAAATTCTAGCTTCCATGTAGTCTCAAAGCCTATAACTTTACTTTTAGACTGTTAAGGTCCTTTATAATAATGTCACCATGACGCAAATTTGAAGGGGCTATGAATTTGTTTAATTAACTTAGCTCCTTCTTTACTTTCAGTAGATTCTTCATTATCTATGATGACATTATCAATAGTATGCAAATTAATAAAATTTATAAATTAACATTTAGTACATGACCTAATTAAGCTGAATAAACATTCTGCAGAACTCAGTTTCAAAGAAATTAAAATTAAAATATAGATTTAAGATAAATATGCAAGACAGCAAGCTAAGCTAAGAATTGTTATTTATATAGGATTTTTCTACTTTCTCACAGTCACCTATTCCTCCTAATGAAGAGTCTTCACCTTCCCATAAAATGACCAACAATAAGCTCAAAGTGAATGAGCTAGTTTTATTCAATAAAGAATAAGTAAGCTTCAAATTTCTTACGATTTAAAGATTACCTGTTTTAGTTACATGATGCGATAAAGAAAGTTTCTGAAAAAGATTAGATTAGAAATAGCTTTGCTCAAAATGAACTGAAAGACCTACTTAAAAAGCTCACGAAGGATTAAAACATGAAAGAGATGATTCAAAAGAGAAATTTAATTAGTGTACAAGAAATGCAGACTTAAACTTCACTAGGGCCACTCTCTCCAAAGAGCTAGAAATCAACTAAAGAAAGTTTGAACGGTATTAAGAAGAACAGAGTAAATTTTAACGCAACTAGTGGAATGCTTTAGAGAAATAGTCTCAAAGAGGCTTTCAACAACACAAATCTCTAGAAAAGCTAGAAAGAGCTTACTATAAATGGCATAGATGTCATGATGGTTGATAAGATTGTTCCTAAAAAGCAGGGAATAAAAGTTCTGATTGAAGTTCATATGAATACCCAAGATGTCAAATAATCCACACTTTCTAGTTTTATGAGTGATGGTAATAATGCTACTATGAATAGCTTTCAGCAACTGCCATAAATCTATAATCAGCATAAAAGAAATTCAAGCATCAAATCAGTGCTGATAAAGGATAGCAGTCTCTAACATTAAAGCTTACAATCACAAAATAAAACACCAACTAATGGATAGATATAAACAACAAAGAGTATTTTTAGTACGTTTTCACCCTTGAATCAGAACTTTAAGTCAACTAATGATAAAAGTAGGCTGATTAAAGCGGGGCTGAGTAAAGATGATGTTTAATTTAGCAAGAACTTTACTCTTTAGAAAAACACTGTTTGTAATTTAATCAACAATACTTTAATTCGATTGAAAAAATAGTACAATCAAGACAATAAAAAAATATAGGTGGATAATTTCAAAGAAGAAACTAAGAACAGATCAAACTACTTGAAAAAGATATATGACTAGAAGTATTTATAGAAACCTATGAGAGTTTTTAGTAATTAAGACAGGGCTTAATTGGATCTATCTAAAATAGATGAGTCTTCAACAGATTAAGATTATGACAAACTCTAGTTCAATGAGGACTACTATCGATAAGCTCGTGGAAATCCCTTATAAAACAAATATCTGAAAAAGAACTATTTATACATTTAAAATGCTGATAGCAGTGTTCAAGTTTCCTAGCAAAGCATCTTAAAACCATTTGATGTGTCCTCTAAAAACAGTAGTCCTGGTCTAGCAATTAGAAGAAATAATGAGAATAGAACTATGCTGAGAGTAAAAATGAGCAATTCAGTCTCTAATTCATCATTTTAAAACAGTATGCTTATGAATGAAGACTTGAAACCTGTAGAGAGCAGAAGTAAAAATCATAGATAGTCAAGCAACATTTTTAGTCACAACCATTAATACTCGGCTAGTCAAATTGAAAATCAGTAATCAATGATAAACATTCAAACACCCAAAGTAATTTTTAACTAAAACAAATTGAGGATTGATACTAATGATAAGAATCAGAAGTTAAAAAGTGGTGGTAGCTTGATCAGATCTCCTATGATCAGAATTAATGACCAAGACATAGAAGCATGCAATGAGAGCTTTTTACCAGTGATTACCTTTGTAGAGCAGTCAAAGGTAAATAAGAGAACAAGAAATACAGCTGATGATTACAAAAGGGAAATGCAAAGTCTAAAAAATTTCCAACCACCTAATCATTAACTTAGCTAATTAGAAAAGAAAGTAAGAGAGAAATGTCTTAGTTAGCACAATTAAAAATTAAATGAAATATTTAGGCAGAAATACAGAACTTAGGACAACTCAGAGACTCGTTTGAGCATTAAGGTTAATAAGCAGTCCTCAGCTGTTTTTAAAATTAATACAATTTAATCTTGATTTAATAACTTCATTTCTTCAATCCAATATTGACTCTAGGGGTTTTGGGGTTTTGGGGTATATGATCCTGAGTTAGTATTTCTAAC